GAGGGGGGGGCGCCGGGGGGCCGGGGGGGGGGGGGGGGGGGCGGCAGGTGGGGTGTGAGGGGCACCAGGAAGCCACGGACACCTGGGATCTCAGGGCTGAGCAAAGCGGGTGGAGTAGGGGGAGGGGACTTGGAGCGCTCCAGCGCCTGGGTTCCCTCCCCCACAGCACCACGTCTAGCCCCACCCCCCTCTCACCTTCTGTGTGACATCACTGCTGGGCCTGGTCCCACATCACACCCTGGAATGAGGAGGTCATTGCTGGCAAGGTTGTCATCATCGCGCACCCCCCCCAGTGATGTCATCTTCAGGTGCTGTGACATCACATCCCCTCTGCTAGCCCACTGCAAGGAGCAGGTACCATTGCTGCCCTAGGACATCACATTCTTGACCCCCCCGCAGTGACCTCATGCTCCGCAGCCTCCTTCCCCCTTCATGATATCAATGCTCAGAGTGGTGACATCATGCCTCGTCAGGAACAAGCCCCTCCCACGGGGTGGAGTTGTGTGAAGGCCCTGCCCCATCCCTCATGGACTTGACCCCTTGAGGCCCCCTCCTGGGCAGGGGAGAAACCAGCTCAGATCAGGCCCCGCCCCTTTGCCCTGTGTGTCCTAGTATGGGGAGGAGCCAACCAGACCCAGGTCCCACTCCTTTTCCAGCCACCTGCTGCCCACATGGGGTACTGCAGGGAAAGGAGCCATGCCAGGCCCTGCCCCTTACCCTAGCCCCACCCCACAAGGGGAAGAACCAGCCAGAACCAGGCCCTGCCCCCTTTCCAGCCCCCACAATGCCCAGAAGGGGCACTGCAGGGGGAGGAGTCAACCAGCCCCACCCCTTCCCTCAACCCGGCCTCCAGGACCCAGAAATGACCAGTGGGGGCCGAGGTCCCAGTGGGCGCAAGGGTGTTTATTAAAAGCAGACCGAGCCGTGGCACGCAGACACCCCTCCCCCCACTGCCCCCACCCCCACAGGGAGGGGGAGGGGTCCCAGAGTTTGGCAAGATCCCGCCTCCCCCCCTTTAATAAATACAGGCCGCAACTCTGACCTCCACCCTGCTGGGGGGGCTATGACCTATTGGGGCAGCCAATCACAAACTGGCCAACTGAAACACTTGCCAGCCTTCCCCCCAAATAACATTTCACAGAAGGGGAGTCAGGACCTCTGCTAGCAGCCAATCAGAAACCTTAGTGGTGCATGACCTATCCTGACAGCCAATCAGAAAGAATGCCCTTACTGGGTCACCTACCCTGAAGGCCAATCAGAAACCACCTCCATATCAGGGATATGTCCAAACCTGGCAGCAATCAGAAACCACAACCTTATCAGGGATATGTCCAAACCTGACAGCCAATCAGAAACCACCTCTTTATTAGGTGACCTATCCTAATGGCCAATCAGAAACAATCCCTATATTTGGGGGGGGAGGGGGGAGCAGGGAGGGGAACCTACCATGATGTCCAATCAGAAACCGCTCTCTTACTGGATGACCTGTCATGATGGCCAATCAGAAACCACCCAATACTGGCGCATGACAGACCCTGACAACCAATCAGAAACAACACACTTATTGGGTAGCCAACCCCAACAGCCAATTAGAAATCCCCTCCTTAGTGGCTGATGTTCTATCCTGACAGCTAATCAAAAACCACCTCCTTATTGGGGCTCCAACCCCAACAGCCAATCAGAAACAACACTCTTATAAGGAGTGACCCCAACAGCCAATCAGAAGTCACCACCTGTAGCCTCTCCCAGACTCTGGTCTTAAAGGGCCCCTTCACCCCCAAAATACCACAGTCAGGGTGACCCCCCAGGCCTGTGTTGTGGGGTTTCCCTATCTCCACCCCTCCCTCATCATTCCCGCCTCTGGGGGTGGCCCTACGGCAGCCATGGCCCCCTTTCCTGGGCAGGATCTATGCAGATTTCAGGGGAAGAGGGTTACAAATCCAGCCCCCCATGGTAGGGTCCATTGTGTCCCAGGGGAAATAAATATGGTTGCCTCGCACCCCCGCGTCCTGGTAGTAGGTCAGTCCGCGGCCAGTCCTTCTGCTCTCCCCCACACAAAGGCAGAGATGGGACAACCTGAAGGAACCCCACCCGCCCAACTGTTGAGGCTGGAATGGTATGGTCCATGCCTCCCAACTTCCTCAGCCTCCCCCTACAGAGGATGTAGGAATGGGTTGGTCCACAGCTTCTGATTATCAATCCTCTCCCCCTTTCTATAGGCAGGAATGGATCAGTCCATGATTTCAATCCCCTCCCCATGGAAGGCTGGAGTGGGTTAGTCCATGGTGGAACGCTGGAGTAGGTCAGTCCATGATTTTTAATCCCTTCCCCCTGTGTGGGAGGCTGAAGCGGATCGGTCCGTGGTGGGAGCTGGAGTGGAAGAGTCCATGATGCAAACCCCCCAACTGGCAGGCTGGAGTGGATCAGTCCATGGTTGGAGCTGGAGTGGAAGGGTCCATGGCTCAACCTTCCCACCACAGGAGGTTGGAGTGGATAGGTCCATAGTTGGAGCTGGAATGGAATGGTCCATAAAGCAACCTCCCCCCTCCCCCCCATGCCAGGCTGGAATGGCTCAGTCCACAATTGAAACTGGAGTGGATCAGTCCATAAAGCAACCTCCCCCTGGTAACAGGCTGGAGTGGATTGGTCCACAGTTGGAGTGGAAAGGTCCATGGTGCAATCTCCCCGTCAGCAGAAGGTTGGAGTGGCTGTAGCTGGAGTGGGTCAGTCCATGACACACCCACACCCTGGTGACAGGCTCAAGTGGAACAGTCCACGGAGCATCCTCCCCCCAGCAGGAGGCTGGAGTGGATCAGTCCATGGCATGACTCACCCCCCATGACCAATGGGCATGGGTCGGTTCGTGGCTCCCCCCTCTCCTGGCGGGCTGGAGTGGATCGGTCCGTGGTAGTGCCGAGGGAGCAGATTGGTCCGCATGGGCAGGATGGAGGGGGCAGGAGATGGGGGGGGGGGAATCGGGAGGTACCACGTGGCAGCAGGG